CTTCTTTAAAAAAAAAACTTTTTGCATTTTTCACAATAATTAATTTATCCAAAAAAAAAAACCCATATGGTGTTAAATCTAACCAAAGAAAAAAAAACTGTAGAGGTTACAGAATGAAAGTGCAAATATATATATATACGCATGTTGTAGTTTATTTACGTTGCACTAGAGCTGCACAATGGGCTATTGGCAAACAGTCTCGGAAACATCCCTAAGGATGATCCCTGCTTTGGTTGCCCAACAAGTTGCGCACAAAGAATTTCATTGAGTAACATAAATTTGAATAAAATATTTTTATTAAAAAAAATTTATAATGTTTAAAAAAAAAACCAAAAATTACAACAAATCCAATATAGTACAAAATAAAATTCACATTATTTTTCCGATATTATTTCTATTTCTTGAATTATTAGAGCAGGGTGGCCACTCAAATCAGATTTTAAATTTCCCTGATTTTTCCAGGTTTTCCAGATAAAAATCTTAAAATTTCCAGGTTTTTGTTTCTTTTTTTCTTATAAAGTATAGGATGTGTACAAGAAAAGTGTCTATATTATAAAATATTTTATTCAAAATGTTATTTTTTTAACATATCATCTTGAAAAAAATAAATTTTTATTTTGACAATTTTCAAGATTTTTAATTTATTTTTTAATGTTTTGGCACAAAATTTTGAATCAAAAATCATATATTGACCAACAAAGGAGCCTTTTTTGTTTAAAATTAAAATATGTTATAAGAGGTTAAAATGAAATAGAAAAAATTATGCAACAATTGTAACAATTTGTCGACAAACATTGCTGTTAGTGATTGAAAAAAATGTGTGATTGGTTGGTTTGCTCAGAAAAAATAATTCACAGATTTCTTTGAATAGGAGTAGAAAAGCTTTCAGAAAAAGAGTGCGATATAAAATCTATTATCATAAAATTATAACCAACTAATTTTTGGAGAATTTTATAAAGTTAAAAATACAAAAACATTTTGTCAAAATAGAGAAAAAAAATAACCACCAAAGCATCGGAACAAACTTGAGCCATAAATGGATTTAGCCCAAGGACAGAATTTAAAAACAGAAGCTAATATCCTAATCCCTTTTTCCACCAGAATCTTACCTAAATTTTCCTAAATTCCCATAGCGGTCAAAAGTTTCCACATTTGTTTAGCAACCGTGGAAGAATTTTATATGGCATTCTAGTTTAACAGAACTATAATGGAGCAAATTTTGATGCAAGCAAAGTATCGCTAAGTTGATGATATTTCAACTGTTTGGCGATACATTTCCGTTTAAAAAAAGTGGGTATAATGGATGAAATAATTTAAATTAAGAAAATTAGCAAATAATTTAAATTAGTGAAATTAAAAAAATTATCAAAGAAAAATTTCCAGCTTTTCTTTAAAATTCCCTGATTTTTCCAGGTTTTTATCCAAATTTCCCTGATATTTCCAGGTTTTTTCCAGCATAAAAAAATTTCCTGATAATTCCAGGTTTTCAAGGTTTTCCAGGTGGGTGGCCACCCTGTAGAGGTTTTAAGAATTTTAAATGTAAAACATTTCCTTAAAAAAATTTTACCTAAGCTCAAAAATTTAAAACAAAATAAATTACAAATAGTAATCAGCGTAAAAACTAGAGTTATGCTCTTTTCAAAATTTTCATGGTTCAATAATATTGCATTAATATATAGAGATTTTAAATACCATGTACAAATGCATGGTGCCAACCACCAAAACTAAGAAAAATAACTTATATATATGATGAAATGAACAGAAATAAATTGTATAAAATAAAAATGATTTAAATTCGCATTTAGAAATTTGCATTTTGTATTAACACTGTAGTTAAAGTAATGCGATTGCAAAAGTCAAAGAAAAGCATTGCAAATATTAAAAAAATAATAATTACATTTACGATGAAATTAGCATGTGTAAAGTTTGCCAATAATTAATCATTGAAAAGCGTAATTTAAAATTCACATGTCGAAATAAAAACCAGAATTTTTCAAACTATTGCAGAAAGTGCCAAATAAAATATTGAAAAGCAATTTAGATTTACAATGCAATCAACACAAATTAAGTACAGCAAAAAGTGATAAATTAAATGAGAAATTTATAACTCACAACAAGTCATAATAAATGCATTGATAATTTATAACCAATGTGGAAATTTCTAGTTGCCAAAAAAACTATCAATACGTCACTTAGATTAATGCTGAAATTAGAAAAACAGAACACATCAAAAAGGGATTATTTAAAAGGGCGATTTGAAATTTGTGAGTCATAATAACATAGTAATAAAAATATGGGATTTTGAAAATCACCTAGAAAAACGTCGTTTGAAAAAAGACTAAATTATGATAAATAAAGCACCTCGAAAAGTGATAAATTAGATCTGAGATTTATAACTCACAAGTCGTAATAAATGTATCAGGAATTTATATAAACCACATGGAAATTAGTAATTATTAATGCCAAAATAAGATGTAAACATCATTTGGATTTATGATGAAATTGGAAAAAAACAATACTCATAAAAAAAAAAGTTTTTTAAATGGGCGATTTGAAATTTGTGAGTCGTAATAACATCGCTATAAAAACATGGGATTTTCAAAATCACATAGAAAAACATACTAACGATGTATTTCATCCTTTGAAAAAAGATGAATTTTGCACAAATAAAACGTGTTAAAAAGTGATCAGTTACACAGGCCATGAGTGAGTTATAATTCAAGAGTAACATGAAAATTAGTAGTCATAAATACCAAAAAATGATCGAAACGTCACTTGGATTTGATGAAATAGGCAAAAGCGAAGCTTGTCAAAAGGTGATTATTTAATAGGGCGATTAGAACCTGCGCATTGTAATAATATTGTAATAAAAATTCTGGACACATCACATAAAAATCACATTGTAAAGTAACAATAACTGATTTAAAAAAATCATTTATATTTATGATGAAATCGGTACAAATAAAGAATGCCAAAAAGTGAAAAAATTAGATGTGATTCATAACTCGCAAATTGTAACAAATGTATCGGAAGCTAAGAAACAGCATAAAAATTGGTTGTTATAAATGCCAAAAAACAATAGAAACGTCACTAGGATTTAGGATGAAATCGGCAAAAGTGACTCAAACTCGAAATTCGCATATTGTAATATCGTAATAAAAAAATTGTGTCTTTCAAATCCATGTGGAATTTCATAGCAATAACCAATGAAAATGTGATGAGAAATAACATAGATTTACAATAGAATTGGTGCAAATTGAACACATTAAAAAGTGATGACTCAAATGTACAATCCAAAATTTTCCACTTTTTTTAAAACTTTTCTAAAATTTCATATTGTATTCAAAAGCTCTCACAGGCCACACATCAACAGTCGGCAAACCGCAGGTTGTACATCCCTAATTTACACTATTTAAAATTCATACATGGTGATTCATATTCAAGCTATTTAAAAATCACACATCATAATTTGTATTTACACCATTTAGAAATAAATATTGCAATTATTATTAACAAAATTTAAGAATCACACAATTTGTATTCACCTTATTTAAAATAGTTTCATTTGAATTATGGTTCGGAAAATTTGGTAACATTGCAATTAAGGAATACAGTGAGGATTTTTTAAAATTTTCATAACTTGTTAAAATTACCATGGTAATTCCAAGTAAGCCCTGCAAGAGCTGAAAGAAGCCTTCCTTTCATGAATAGAAAATAGGCCTAGCAAATTTAGTGTTACTGAATAATTAGTAATTCTTCACAATTTTAATAATTAGCCAAGATGTATCAGTGTTTTCACTACAGTGCGAGAACGTGAGAATCTCGCATATTTTTTTCTTTTCTCGCTTTAAAAAATGATTACCGCGAGAAATTCGCCCATTCTATAAATCAATTTCAAAATTCGCGAATTTTTCGCATTTTGGAAAAAGCTTCGAATTACACCATTTAGAATAAAATCCGTTTCATTTTTCTTACTGGATCTTTCATTATTTTCAACATCTGCCCCATTATCTAGCTTCCCTATTTACCAGTATTGTTCAGAACCTTTTCGAACAACAGAACACAACCACGGAACCCCTTTAAGAACACATTTCTTTGCAACCACGCGTTTACCGTAGGTAAGGTTTCTTCATGTAAGACGTTCAAATTTTTTATGCACTTATGCAAGATGGACAAATACCTTGTAAAGGCAAAATCTTCTATGATGATGCATCAAAAATATTCAATGCTTTGAAAAGTTGAAGACGTTAAAAATGTATTATAATTAAAAAAATGATTTTTTTTTCAAGAGTTTTTGTGTTTTTTTTAGAAATCTCACTTAACTTTTTGAAATCTCACCCTGTTTTTGAGAAAGGGTGAGAAATTCTCACCCATTTTTTTTCTATGATGAAAACACTGATGTATGCAGGTTTATTTTGCAAAGGGGAAGATTACCTCAATTAGCGGCAAAATATTCACCAAGTCTTGATAACTTCCTGACAGGGGCTTGCGAGAAACTAAAAAAAGAACATTACAGATGGGGATCAACTCAGTCAGGAGCATAACTCAACGCAAATCTCGGGGAAACCTCGACATTATTTTTTTCAAATTAAAAAATTTGCACGTTTAAAATACATTTGGCGCCTTGCAATACTGGTTAGGGCAACCGATCAAGATACGGAAATATCGCCGTGCAAATCTTAACAAAATAGCGAACAAGTTAGAAAATATTGAAACTTCTTTAGAAAAGCCCAGAGAGTTGCAAAGCCATATCTTTTAAAATGCCTACAACATATATGAATAAAGAAATAAAAAAGACAGCACTAGAACCGCAACATAAATAGAACGTAAGTAAGTCGTATGATACTATTAGAACGTTTCTATGTAGCTCTTCGCAGCAGAAAACATAGCACACATTATAAAAAGTTTAGCGAAATTTTTATTATGAAAACAGTTTGAAAGATGATATATTATTATGCATATTATATATGATTACAATTTTATTAAGTTGGAATTGATACCTTTCAGAACAAGTTTCATGCTGTGTATTCACTGGTTTGACAGACGATAATTTATCTCCTAAAGAAAATCCGTGTAGTCTTAGTAATGAAAAAATAAAAAAGAAATTAAAAGTCCTCAATATTCCCCACATATCAATGAATTTCAATTTATTCGAACCATACTTAGGACTATTATTTAAAAACAGAAATAGAATAAGAGATTTCAAATAAAGTGCGGTGATTTGTTTATTATGTTGTCGTGTAATTGCATACTGTTGCCAGATCAAAAATACTCATTTTCTTAATATTTATTAAAGGTTCTAGGCGTCTGTAGCCGAGTGGTTTATCTTTTTAAGGAATTATTTTCACTGTAAGCAGTACACGCACTTCCGGTCCTTGTTCTAAAAATTAAAAATTGCTTAGTTTTCTTGCACGGAGCCCTCTCTAAGTTGTTTTGACGCCATGCAGTTTGATAATAAATTGAAAAATTTTAATCGGTTTTCATCAGAGAAGAATGGAATTATATTTTTTTTTACTTTTTTTGTGTCCCGCAGTGATCGTTAAGACACGGTTCCCAGCAGATCACAGAAATCAAGCATCACTGGCTGCTGTCAGTGTGCGGGTGGATGACCACTTGGATTAGTCTGTGTAGGGACAGAGGGTGTGCGGTATTGGTCCTCGTTAAGCTGTTCTACCGTAAAATTCTCGACTTCGCGTTCAGGTCGCACGGCTACCGAAGCCGGGGGTAACATCCCCTCTGAAGAGGATCAAAATTGTGATGGCATGTCTTCGGATCATCCTCAGGGATGTTTCCCAGACCGCCACCAATAGCCCATTGTGCAGCTCTAGTGCGACGTAAATGAACTACAACAACTACTTTTTTTTTGTTGTAAATGAATAGTCTTTTCTACACTATGATGCACTGCATTCACTTTACTGCATATTCTCCGGGTAATTGCCTATTTTCAGGTGTATTTTGAAGCCATTTGGCTCACAAATGATCATTGTGTTTTGAGGCTCCCTTGGATAGTATTTCTTGTATACGTGTATTTGCTATCTGATTTATTAATTATGTTTAAGAAAAAGAATTGTCATTTGAAAAAAGGAATCGTTATAAAACACTTCTTACCGTGTCAACAATGTATGATGGTGCACAGCTAAAAACAAGAACAAACAGTAATAAACAAATAAAATGGGGCCCAATCAGGACTGCCAAAAAAGCGAGTTCTCTCTAAATCTATTAACCACATTACCTTTTTTACCAATACATAAATTAATATCTAAAATAAATTTTCATTTCAAACTAACCAGAATTTCTTAATATCATTAATATCTTATGAAATGCATCAGATTTGAGCTCAGAAATTACATGATTTATTTCTTTTATTAAAAGCAAAATTATAGTTCAACAGCTACAGCTGTTGAATTATAATTTTGCGATATTTAATTTTATATAATTTTGCGTATATAATATTGCGATATAGTTTTGGAATATAATTTTGCGATATTTTCAACAGCTATAGCTGTTGAAAATATTGCTTCGCAGAATAAGCAGCTGTATATTTTCTTACCGGAATAGTAGAGGAGATCAAGAGCTCGAGATTGTGTTTGTTCAAATTCAAATGTTTTTGTTTGAATTCAAATGTTTTGAAAGAAAATTTTTTTTAATGCATAATATTTTCCTAGTCTGCAACAACAATTTCATCAAAATCACATTTTCATCAAATTAAAAAATCATATGAAATATACATTTAAAGATTAGAGAATTTGATTGGGGCATTTAAAGTAAACTGATCAAATCACATTTATTTAGAATGTTTGTTAAGTTTGTGAAAATCGTGACTAATCTTATTATTGTTCAAGATTTCAACGTTTTCTTTTTGTAGTCAGACTTTCTATTAGAAATATTTAAAATATTGATAAAAAATTATTATTAGATAAATAATAAAGACTACAGGTTAAAATTACGAAGTGAATCTATCGAAAAATCAACCATTAAACTTTTGTAAAGTTATCAAAGTTTGGGTTCAAAAGTGCCGTATAGCGGAACTGATTAAAAAGCGTGAATAACATACATCTATGATGGCCAAATGGCCATTTTTGTTCTCTCAATACACCCGACTCGCAATTGCGTTCACGCGCAAATGCTATTGGCACATGCACACGCGTTGTTTTCAACTATTGGGTCTGTTCAACGACACGGAACTTTCGGAGCAGGGTCTAAATCTATTTTTCATTTGGGAAGTTTATCGTTTAACTGTTTTTAACCGTTGAATGCTTGATCGGAGAAACGGTACTTAATAAAAAAATTTAATTATCTAAGTCACTTTAGAAATTTAGCCTAAGTCAAAAACCGTGGAAAAAGCTAAAATGAAGCAAGTTCAAAAGTTAATCAAGGACGGGTTTGCTAATGGTATAAACCGCCCATAGTTGTCAAAATATGGTCTCCTAAAGATTTTCCTTCACTGTCATTTCTGTTAAATAAGCTGGAGGCCATGTTGATTTCAAAATTCCGTAAGAGTTTATTCTGCTGTTGTTGTTGTTGTTAATTTACGTCGCACTAGAGCTGCACAATGGGCTATTGGCGACGGTCTGGGAAATATCCCGGAGGATGATCCGAAGACAAGCCATCACAATTTTGATCCTCTGCGGAGGGGATGGCACCCCCGCTTCGGTAGCCCGACGACCTGCGCGCGAAGTCGAGCACTGTACGGTAGCACAGTTTAACTAGGACCAATACCGCACACCCCTCGGTCCCTACGCAGACTGATCGAAGTGGTCACCCACCCGCACATTGACCGTAGCCACTGATGCTTGACTTCTGTGATCTGCTGGGAACCGTGTCTTAACGATCAGTCCACTGCGGGACTGAATTTTTTTTTTTAATTCTGAAAATGCGTCGCTCAATGTGCACTCTAGCTGTGGAAATAATCCTTGACTGAGACTCTTCACGATCAGACAACTGACTTTTGCGTTTGGTAGAAACAGGGATAACAATGCTAGCACTCCTTAAACCAACTTCTTTAATTCTGAACCCTCTGTCAGCTAGTATCTTGTCCCCACTTTTAACCAGATCCAAGATGCCAGAGTCAATCGTTATTTCTTTGTCAGAGTGTCTTCCTCCAAACAATTTTGACAAAAATATTATACCTGCTTCAGGGCTACAAACAAATTAAAAATTTAACAGTGTTATGGTGCTTGTAATCGGAGTCAGTATGACTCCGAGCATTTTATATATGAGGTGTGCCAGTAAAGATCTCGGAACAGTTTATAACGCAAGTAATATTTTCAAGCAGTTTATGCTGAAAACATTGAGATATGATGGTAGGCATGTGAGATGGCCAGGTAATACGAGAAGATAGAGTGATACACATTTTTTCTATCCACTCTCTAAATATTTTGCTCACAGTAGCAGAGTCAAATTCAAACCTATAGTCAAGATCTTGCTCAATAAGGCCAAGCCTTAGTTTCATAGAGAAGATGAGCAGTGTTCCTCACAAGAAAGCTTTGTCCTTACGGCTAGTTTCCATACAGTGGTCAACCACTGCAATAGAGCACAGAATAAAGCTATTCTTTTCAGTTTCGTGTAAAAATTCCGCGGTTTCTCAATGCTCAAAATGTTGTCCGAGGACGAATTTCTCAACCTTTCATACTGAAAAACCTTTCGCATTAAGTTGAGGGTTATTTCTTTATTGTCATCGATATCCTTTTCCAACTTATCAATATCTTTTATGGACAGTTCCGTCATTGTTGAAAATGATCTTGTAACTGCCACGGAACTATCAGAAGCTTGATCTATATGAAAATAAAATGCATTCTTTAAAAACAGAAAACACTTTTGAAAGTAAAGTACAGAACTTTTTATCAGGAATCCAAAAAATAGGGGGAAATTTTGCCTTGTTTTCCCGCTATTTTGAACAAGTACGATTAAGGCAAAATACAGAATTTCCAGACATTCTTCATTCTCTCATTCTTAAAATTGAATTGAGGGAAAGACATGGGATCATTGATTTAAAAGAGGAAAATGCGGCACACATGCCTATTCCCTATATATTGTATTTTCCTCTTGCTGGAAGGGCAATACAAAATATTCATTGCTATACTTAACAGTATAAATATAATAAAGTAAAAAAAACTGAAGTGGAAATATAATTAAAATACGGAAATGGCGATAATTTTAATTAATAATTAAGTAGGAATTTAATTAGCTGTACAGTAGGAAACGTTTAATCCAGTTTCCAGGAAAAACTTTGCTCGCCATTTTGAACTAGAAAGACTGAGTAGATGGAAAGGTAGGGAATTTAACCTCTTTTCAAAGTGACCAAGTTTATCACCAACCTCTATGTCTGATATCCTATGGAGTTCCCATGAAATCCGAAAATTACATAATTTTTCTCTAACAATATTTTCATTTTATTATACTTAAAATAAAAAACATGTTTGCAAACATATGTTGATTGAATATGATTCTGAAATATGCAACAGCAAAATAGGGTAAATTTTGCAAGTTGGTTGTCAATACAATATTTCAAAATCCATACGGTACAAACATATTTAGAAATTCTGACTAAGTTCTAGGAAATGATATTATTTTTAATTAAGTTATCACGTAAGATAGTGAAGCATAGCATTTGTGCCACAGATTGGCAGCACATGAATTAAATGCATTAATTTTAAGAATAAATTCAAATCTAAATAAGTGTTAAAGAACAATATTTAACACATTAACTGTTAACTATTAAGTTCAGTGTACTATCTGCTTACTATCTAACAAAGTAAACCTGCTTCTCACATGATATTTCTGGCTATTCTCGGCTTGGTAATTATTGGCCAAGTAGTGTTCGTTAAAAAGTTAACTAGGAAAATTTAGTTATTGGCACTGTCAAGGCATTATGTCTAACACAAATTTAATGAGACGTAACTCAAACAAAATTAATATGCTTATTAGACACATGATGCAACAATTCCAAGATTAAAAGTTTAACTACATAACAATACAAAAGTGTTCATTAATTTATCATAGAACATTTCATTCTTAATATCAAGCAAATAAAACCTTATCATATATATATATATATATA